CTTGGCGAGTAGGCGATGGTCCTTAGATCGGGCTGGCAGTGGCGGTGAGTCGAGGCAGCAGGGGTGCTACAGGCGAGTGACGGGAGACGGCGGTGTTGCGGGTTATTTTCGGGCGGCGGCCGTGTACGGTGGGGCGTTACCTGGGCGGTCGTCGGTGGCTCCGGCGGTTGACGGCGACCAGCTGGGCTGCTGGTCCGGTGTTTTGGGACGGCGGGGAGGCGAGATGGGAAGGAGGAGTGAGGGAGAGGAAATGTGGGAGAAGGAGAGGAAGAAGAAGAAGGGTTTTTGATTTGGGGATTTTTGTGGGTTTTAGGGATTGCAGGGGCTCTAAGAAGAAAGTGTTTCCTTGAGGTTTTAAGAAGTACCCTTAGCCTAGTGGTCAAGACCTTGGTCTTGCATGTGGGAGGTCAAGGGTCCAATTCCCATTGGTAACATTAGGCTTTTCTTGATGGTGTGGTCCTTGTCTTTTTTTTTTCCTCTTTCATTTTCTAGTGGTGGGAGGCTTGGCTTGTTTATATAATTTTGGTTTCATCTCTGTAAGTAGGATCGAATTTCGATCTAATCTTTTATTTATAATAATTCCGAAGTAATTGCTAAATAAGTAGTTTTGCTACGAAGGTGATTACAAGGAAATTGCTGGTTTATCCTAGACAAAATTCGTCTTCTTGATTTTCTTCCGCGGGGTTGGCATGGTCCTCGCCTTCTGGGGTTGGGTTCCCCTCCTCGAGGTTGCTCTCGCCCCCGAGGTTGGCCTGAGTGCGGCTCATGACGAATATTTTCCCGGGAGCGCCGTAGTTTCCTTGGTGGGTGGTGCTCCCATGTTGGCCCGTGGTGGTGGTGCGTGGCCTTTGGGGTTGAGTGCACTGGAAGGCCTTGTGTCCTTCCTCACCGCAGTTGAAGCACCGCCAGGGATTGCCCATGCAATCCTTGCCCCGATGGCTCTTGTTGCATTTTGGGCAAGGGAAGCTTCTTGTGCTAGTGTCATTGTTCCCTAGGGGTGGTCTTTGGTTGGCTAGGTTACTTGGTCTTGTGTTGGTGTCGTTTCTCGTTCTTTTTACGGGTGGTGTTCCACCCCTGGTGCTTCTTTTCCGTATCTGTTCTTGAACCCCACGTTGGAGTAGTTGGATTCGATAGAGATTTGCAGCACTGGAGTAAGCCTTGTTGAGGGTCCGAGGTCTGCTTACCACCAGTGCTTTTCGGGCTTCGAAGTTGAGGCCCGATATGAATCTCTCTATTTTGGTTACCTCGGTGGGGACTAGTTCTGGCGCGAAGCGTGCTAGTTCGAGGAATCGTTTATGGTACTCCATGACGGTAGCTATCCCTTGTTTCAGAAGGAGGAACTCTTCGTACATGGATACCTTTACGTGTATGGGATAGAACCGTTCTCGTAGTCGCGTCTTGAGGTTTTCCCAGTCGAACCCTGGTTCTTGTTGGTAAGTGGGCCCCTCATGGATCCATCAGAGATCGTCCTCGTGTCCGAAGTAGAACGAGGCTATCTCTACGCGACGTTCTTCTGGGCATTCTACTAACCCTAGAATTTTGTCGAGGGTCCGGATCCATTCCTCCAGGATTACGGGATCCTCTTCTCCTGAGAACGTGGGTGGTCGATGGTTTGAAACTTGTCGGGCGACGTCTGAGTTCGCGTTTGATGGAGGAGGCGGGGGTCTGTTGTTGCGAAGAGCTACGTCGCTTAGCGCCTGGGCGACTTGCATTAGTTGTTGTAGTGTTTGGGTCAGGGGGTCGTGTGCGGCGGGTTCTGGAGTCCTTGATTGTCTTCTGTTTGGTGCCATGCTGTCGTCTCTCTGGGTCAATGTTTATAAGAACGTTAAATTAGAGCATGGTGCTCTTCTTTCGATGTGATAGGCGGGGAAAAGTTTTCTTTAGATAGGGGGGTATAAAGTGAGGGGAGGTTATGTGTAGGTTTCACAATCTCACTGCGCGTCCTAGGATTCCCGAATCCTATGTCCCTGAGTACCTAGAGTTCAAGTCTATGTCCTAAGCTCTGTCTTAATAGTCTTATCCTAGGGTCAACCTTAGGCTCTGATACCAACTGTAACACCCCAAAATTTTTAAACTTTTGAAGCTTATATAATAAAGGCGAAATCTCATTAATTCCCAAAACACAATACAAAGAGTACGAGGTGCTATGCCACACCTGAGCTGGAGAACTCAGGTGCACAGGCTAACTAACTACTATCCTCAATAATGCAAATACATAATCATGGCACATAGGCCGAAAGGGAAACTAACTACTTCTACGCTTCAAGGTTCTAGCGCGCTCCAGTGTCTACTCTTCTGTGCCTGAAAGCCAAATATATCTGTTCAACGAGAGATGCTGGTAACCCACTCCAACGCGTTGAAATACAATACATATAGATATATACATAGATATACGAAAACCATTTCGAAGCATGAAGATATATCCTAAGAGACTCTAGCTTTCAAAACAGGGAATAGACTCGACAGATAGGGGTAAGCACAGTCAACAGTTATACCAAGCATATACAGTTTTCCAGCATAGAGACAAGCACGATAGATAGAGACAAGCACATAACCAAGCATATACAGTTGCTAGCATAAATCTTATAGTCACGTTCTCAAAACACACATAACAACATCTTATCCATATCTCATCACATAAGCACACTTTGTTGGCGCCACAAAACCAATCGCATGCCCATACATGAGGGTCAGCGCATATAGCTCTGACACGGCCCCGTAGCACCCTGCCCCGTATCGCAACACGGAGGGGTCGATCGCAACCGACCGATGAACCGCAGCTCATCATAGTTTGATCGCAACCAAACAATGGACCGCAGCCCAGGAGTATGTCATCTGACCGCAGCCAGGAAATATGAACCGCAGCTCATGTAAAACGTTTGATCGCAACCAAACGGTGGACCGCAGCCCGAGAGTGTAAATCTGACCGCAGCTAGCTTCTGAACCGCAGCTCAGGAATAACCAATCCGATCGCAACCGGATTGGGGTATCATGCGCACATAACACATAGCAAGCACATGCAACCCACATTAACACATTGGGAAAGGGGAGGAAACGTATAACAAAACCTATGCGTGATCCTTCACATACTAAGAATAATCCTAAGGGGTGCATACTTCTCTTACCTAGGTCAACGGGATACCAATTCAACTAGCATGCAATATATAAGACTCATACAACCTACGAACGGTACCCGAAATATCAAACTAGACATAGGCACGATAGACGGAGTCCGTTGGGACACCTCGGGGGTCAGGGGAACATCAAACGGGGAAGCCGGAATCCCGATGTGGGGTATTTTCCAGCGGGTAGCCGGTGGGTGAGGGGTCACCCGCCGGCTGCCCGCCGGTGGCGTGATTCCGGGCAGCGGGTGCCCGGCGGGCAGCTGCCCGCCCGCTGCCGGTGTTACCAACTTTGGCCGCGGGTAGGTGGCGGGTCCCCTACCCCCCACTGACTCTTTCATCACAGAAAACGCCCCGGGAACCTTAGTGGAACCCGGAACCATGCTTAGACACTTTCAAACGCAATTGATAACAACACGTAGACAATTAACGGATCCAAAGGCAAGAACATACGGCACATAACCTATCATGCTTTTCTAAACATAAACAACACCCAAACATACGAATTCCCACCCAATATACCAAGAATGATACCATACGAGTTCTACGATACAACCTAGGGTTCTAATTACTTTTAAATCAACAAGAACACAATTCATCTTCTAATATCAAGATTCGGTAGGATTTTCATATAAACATCAAGAACATCATATAATCATCAAGAACACCATATAATCATCAAGAACATCAAGATCACCCATGGAATCATAACACCAATTATCAAAATCATTATAGTGAATCATCAACACACAGGAATATGGGGGAAATCCTAAGAGGGGAATCATAGCTATGAAAATAGGTTTTGTTGAGACATGGGTTACCTCTTAGCCTTAATTAATTTCTTGGCTATGAAGGGTCTTTCTTTAAGCTTTCTTCTTTCTTGATTCCTCCTAGGGGAATTCTTGGAATTCTTGGTGTGGTGAGAGATTATTGTTGTGGGGGTTCTAGGTGCCTCCTATGTTTCCTATTTATATATCTAAGTGTCTTACTTAGGGTCCAAACACTATAAGCTTGCTAACTCTATTCCTTTTAGGAATAGGGGTTGGGTTTAGAGATGAGGGTCCACAGACTATGGTGAGCCTTTTCCTAATTAATTATTGTAATTTAATTCTTTCTTTTGGGCAATTGGTTAAATGATTAATTGGTTTTAAGGGTCGTAACACGGGGTGTTACAATCTTTCTCGCATCGACTTAAATGAATCTTCTAAGCTGGAACGTCCGGGGCCTGCTCACCTCACGGTGCAGGCTTAGATGGCTAATCCATCGTGAGCACATACACTTGGTTTCGATTATTGAACCTTTACTTGTTGCTGATCAACTGGACAGATATGTTCGGGACTTTCACTTCTCGGGTGGCTTTGCGTCCCGAGAGACTAAAATCTGGTTGCTATAGTCAAATTCTTTTGACATCGAAGTTGCAATAGACAGTGATCAGTTAGTTCTTTGTAAAGCTCGTTACATTCCGTGGGACTTTTCGTTTGATTTCATAGCGGTGTACGCAAAACATACGAGAACAGACATGGCTCTTTTGTGGTCGCAGCTCAGGGCCTGCCTGACGAGTTTTGGGCCAATTCTCCTAGGAGGAGACTTCAACGTAATCTCAAGCATTTCATAATACAGGGGTAATGCTATACCAGCTCTGGGGTGCATGTCCGACTTCTCAGACTTTATAGCAGACAACGCACTTCTTGATCTCGCCACTTTAGGCAGCCTATACACTTGGCAGGGGATCCGAACCACGGGGGAAGTTTGGAAGAGGCTAGACCGTTTCTTGATGAACACTGCTTTGAGGGATTATTTCACGGAGGTGAGAATAAATGTTCTGACCAGGACATCTTCGGATCATTCCCCAATTCTGCTAAATGAGCCAATACGTCGATGTCTTGCCCAAAACAATTCCATTTTCAAAGCATGTGGATCACCCACCTAGGTTTCAGGGCTGTAGTCAGCAGAATTTGGAATCAACCTGCAGAAGGAGGGGGAATGCGGGCTCTCGCTTTTAAGCTAAAGCAGGGCCTTTGGTCTTGGAACCGTGACACTTTTGGGAATGTTTTTGACCGAATAGATTTGGAACAAGCAACAACGGAGGCTGAGAATGCTTTTGATGAAGACCCTTCGCCTGTCAACCGTGAGTTTCTACACAAGCAGCGAGCGGACCTTCTTCAGCCTTTCAAACAGGAGGAAATATTCTGGAAACAAAAGGCTCGCGTGAAGTGGCTTAAAGAGGGAGACTCTAACACCCGTTTCTTTCATTCTGTGGTTAAAAACAGGGACCGAATGCAGCGAATTAGTGCTATCAGAAGTGGCACAAGGGAGCTCTTCACGACTCAATCTGCTATACAGGAAGAAGTAGCATCTTTTTACTTCAGGCTAGACTGTTCAGGCGTGGAACCTCTTTTACAATGCCTTCCAACGAACCTAATTGACGCAGACATCTCTCATTTAACCCTTCCTCTCTCAAGCGAGGAGGTTAAAGAAGCGGTGTGGAAGTTGGATCTAGACAGCGCAGCTGGCTCTGATGGATTCTCGGGAGCTTTCTTTAGAAGTTGTTGGGACATTGTAGAAGAAGACGTTTTCATGGCGGCCCGGGATTTCTTCTCCGGCGTACCTCTACCTCGCGCGATGGCAAGTGCTCACATAGTTTTGATTCCAAAAAAATAAAGATAATCCGGACACTTTCGCGGATTATCGCCCGATCTGCCTCTGCACCTTTGCCAAAAAAATTTTCACTCGAGTGGTCACCTCTCGGCTAAGCACTATTCTGCCCAAGCTTATGTCAAGAGAGCAGGCAGGTTTTGTTAAGGGTTGAAGCATTAAAGACAATGTGTTGCTGGCTTTTGAACTCCTGTAATTCATTAACAAGCGGTGCCGGGGAGCGAATGTTGCGGTGAAGCTTGATATGATGAAGGCCTTTGATCGGCTTTCTTGGCCCTTTCTGGATAGGTTTGGGTTCCCTGTGGCTTTCACTAATCTGGTCTTGAACAATCTGGAAGCAACACGTCTGTCAGTCTTGGTAAACGGGGTCAGCTGCGGTTTCTTTCAGCCGACGCGGGGGGTTATTATCACCATACTCGTCGAGACTAGGATGCACCATTGTTACTCACTTGGCATTTGCAGATGATATTATAATTTTTGTCAATGGTTCTACAGGCTCACTGAAGGCTCTTTCAGATGTGCTAAAACAATATCAGGCCGGGTTCGGACAGAAAATCAATTATAACAAGAGCTTCTTCGTTACTTCCAAGCACTATTATACGGGAAGGTTGTCCACATTGTCGCACATTCTGTCTATGCAGCACTGTACTCTACCTTTCCGCTACCTCGGAGTAAACATGTTCGCGGGGAGTAACAGAGTACATTACTATTATCATCTTCTAGAACAAGTTAACAGCAGGCTTCACTCTTGGCAACGCAAGCTGCTATCTCCAGGAGGGAGGCTGACTCTAATTAAGCATGTATTGGCAATGATCCCGTTATATACAATGGCTTCTGTACCTTTGCCAAAGCAAATTGAAAAAGCTCTTGAGTCAAAGTTCGCTATGTTTTTTTGGGGAATCATAGATAGAAAGCCGAAACGGCATTGGCTGGCGTGGAAAAAACTCTGCTTACCGACTGAAGAGGGCGGTTTGGGTGTCCGCTGTCTTGCGTCCATCCAAGAAGCGTTCTCTGCAAAGCTGTACTTCAATTATCTAAAAGGGGGTACCTTGTGGAGCTCATTCATGCAGGAACGCTATCGTGGTGATTTCTCAATTACAGCTGCCTCGCACACCTGGAGGAGAATGCAGCTCGTGAGGGATTTGGTGGAGGAAAATACAACATCATCAGAGTCAGTATTGTGGATGCCGTCGATTTATGGTAACTTCTCCTTCTCTGTTTACGATTTGGTCCGGCCAACGGTAGGAAGGAGTTTACCCTCAACAGCCATTTAGGGAGCTTTAATCCCTTCGAAGATTTCTGTCTTCATGTGGCGTCTACTGCGAAGACTGCTACCTTTCCCGAATGTTCTTCAAAGCTTTGGTTTTTGGTTGCCTTCGGTCTGCCCTATCTGCTTAGCTGCAAGCTCGAGCATGGAGCACTGCCTCTACCATTGCAGTGGCGTCCAGATGGTATGGAGGCATTTTGACAAAATTTTTGGCTTTGGCTCACGCGGCGGCATCTCGGTGAGGGAGGTTTTCCAGAATTGGTGGCTCCATGACTCCTCATCGCTTGGTGGCTACGCATGTTTGCTCCCTTGCCTTGTTCGGTGGACTTTGTGGGCTGCTTACAATGAATGTCTTTATAATGGTACACCCTTTTCCCCCTCAAGAACTATTCGAAAGATTAAATCGGAAGCGCTTTTGCTCTCCCTTGCTCGGAAGCCGCGCTGTAAGGGATCAATGGGCAGTCTTCTGGTTGCTGAAGGCTTGATTGCCCACATTTATTCTCCGCTACGACGTACTACAGTTTGGGTCAAGTGGATGGCTCCGCCGTCGGTGAGATTAAAGTTGAACTCGAACGCCTCTTTCTCTGTGCACGGCGTGGCTGGTGGCGCCTGCCTAAGGGACGCAAGCGGCCATCTTGTAGTGGGTTTATGCTATCGTCTTGGCGCTGCATCCTCAGCTCTTGAAGCGGAGGCTCTAGCATTACAAAATGCCATTTTGTGGTGCGAGGTCACTGCGACACGGCCTCACTTGGTTGAGGCTGACTCACTTACTCTAGCAAAATGTGTGTCCTCGCCGAGGGAGTTGATACCGTGGAGGATACGTGAGCCAGTTCTCTACATCCGGGCTTGCCTTTCAGAATGGGGCTCTACCATTCGACATGTCTTCCGGGAAGCAAACCAGGTGGCAGATGCACTAGCAGAGGAAGCTCTCAACACTGATCCCAAAGTTTTCAGTAGCTTTGTTCTTATGCCTAACAAGGTTAAATTAGCTATGATGTATGATCTAAGAGGCTTCGCTTCTCACCGGATTGTTCGCATTTAATAAATGTCCCCGTTGCTTAAAAATAAAGGTTGTAGTATCCTTGTGATACATTTTTATTGTTGAATAAAAACAAATTGTTCCATTTATGTGTGTTGAACTTTGTATATTTTAAAATATTCTTGTATGATAGTTTTAATATATAAAAGATTCAATAAGGATGTTTTGAGCATCACGTAGCATTATCTAGAAAAATGCTAAAATGGCTTAACGGCCGTAACGAAATGTAACAAATGTGTTACATGTTGAAATCCCGTAAAAGGACTTCGGTTCTGGTTCATGTAGAACGATAAGGATTTCAAGGATCAATTTTTCAAAAATTGGGATAACTGTGTAATCGCAAGTGTCGCAGCTCAAGTGTTGAATGTTTTAATAATGTTCTTGGTACAATTATATAAGCTTGATTCAACTAGTTGGAAATTTGGTTGATTTGATCTTTTTTGTTATAATTAACTCGATCAAAAATCTGAATTATACTAGTATGGAATATAATTTGAGACAAATTATTGGGACATCAAATTAAGCTTGAGCTTAACGGAAAATGCTAATTAAATTTAGCATTGTTGAAGTGCTAATTGTAGTGCTTAATAGCACTGGACGTCCAAAATGTTGAATAACACTGTGCAAGGGGCTAATTAAATTTAGCGTTGTAAAGCGCTTTGTGACTAGCACCTTAAGGAGGTTTGGCTAATTGTGTAATTAGCTAATAATCTTAGTGCTAGGTAGCACTGAAATTATAAAATAAGCAACCGACCATTGCTGTAAGTTTATAATTTAAAGCAATAGAAATTGCTTTGGAATCGGTGCGTTAGTTTGGCAGCAATGATTCGTGCTTGGTATATCATGATTCGTGCTTCATTCCTAAGGCACTGATTCGTGCTTCAATTTCGGAAGCACTGATTCGTGGTTTTGGCTTCGGTCAATCCCGAATGGATTCGAAAGTGCTGATTCGTTCGCACCAACAAGATGTGTTAATTAGTAGCACACGCTTATTCTTTATTAGAATAAAGGAGAAAAAAAAATTAATCGTGACTTAATGCGGTTACGAACGATCGATGTGGTGAACATGAAACACCTATTGGTGATTTCTGCGCAAGCATTGGTATCGTACTCGGGCGTACGACACGGTATTCACCTCAATCGAACATTATTACCGAACATAAAATATCAAGACGTTGATAAGTTCGGGTTTAACTTAAGGTATGTGGGGTGAGACAATACTTTGGACAAGTAAGTACCTTTTAAATAAGGTTACCCACATGAAATTCTTACGAATTGTGGGTACGTAGGAGGTTTTCTTTCTAATGCCTGAAATGTGGGGGTGTCTTGCCAAAGGCGTTTTGGTTCTTAGTACACGAGTCCTATGTTTTGGACGTACATAAGAACACGATAAATTGAACCAAAAAATTCATTACTCTTTAGAAGATGCATATCTGTGAAGGTTCAATAAAATGACCTAGCACGTTGAAATGATCTTTCGACGTAGCTATGGTTGGAGGGTATGAAAGAGAACCCGAGCTCAAAGCTAGACGTAGCAAGAGAGCTAGGATTGGAAAATCCTTTGGTCCGGATTTTCTGATATGGTTGTTAGAAAATGAGCCTTGAAAACGTATGTAGAAGTTGTGACTTCTACGGATGGACCAATATGAAAGAGGCAAAGAAAAAGTGAAGTAGATTCTATCTTAGAAAATCATACTTGGAACTGGTTGTTTTTCATCCGGGTTGTAATACCTCTAGATCCTAAGTGGATCACTGTTGGAAGATAAACCGGTTGGTAATATTGAAGTAAATGGCCAGGCTTGTAATTATATATTACATGCAATGCGAGTGCCATGGTTACTTCGATATGTATTCTCTTGTGATGAGAATGAAATCTATTAGTATGATACTTGCCACAGCCGTTTAGCGAGACTTGGAAGTTCATCGAAATTGATGTATCACTTTCTTAATAGACATGGAACAACCTGAGGGTTTTGTGGTTCTGAGCTATGGAAAGAAAGTGTGTAATTGGTGAGATCATTGTATGGTTCAAAACAATTGCCTTAGTATTTGGCATGTTAGGTTTGATCATACAATGATGACCAACGAGTTTAGTATAAACAAAGGTGACAAGGGTCTACATAATGCGTACGATAGACGAGGTTATCACTATTTGTCTATACACGATAAACTCATCGTGGGTAGTAACGATCAATGATCAAATCTACTAGGAACGTGTTAAAATTGAGATTTGACATAAAGGACATGGGTTTGGCGGATTTAATCCTCGGGATTAAAATTGTGAGAAGACCGGATGTTCTGTGGTAAAGCCAATCTCAGTTGTGTTGATTGAATCCTTGCAAGGATGATGATCAAATGTCTTAGACACCGTTAGATACTAACGTACAACCAGTCAATAATTACGGAGATTGTATTTCTCATGGAGAATAAATTCAGATTATTGGTAGTTTAATTGTATCTAATGGGTTGTGTCGAATAAGCAAGGAGAACCTTGGGACTTTGTCATTCACCAATAAGAATTTGGAGTCCTTAAATATGAATATCGGACAATGTGGGCCAATACTCTCAAAACCATTAACTCCTCCCGGTTCCCAAACTCTTCTAAAATTCTCAACATGCTCCATTAAAGGGAGTTCCTCATTTAAGTCTTGTGTTCTCCCAACTACATTTTCCTTCAAATTCTCTTCAAATGGACAACTTTCAATGTGATCCTTGTCACCTACTTCCATATTCTCTTTCCTTTCTTCCTCAACACTCTCATCTTTTGTTTCTTCCTCAACACCATCATTTTCTTGCACTTCTTCAATTGGACCATCTTCTAGTTGCTCCTTATAACCATTCCCTTGCAAGTTTACACTTTCTCCCAAACTTGGTGTTTCCATCTCAATGCACTCATCATAAACCTCATCGTCTTCAACTTCAAGGTCCTCGCCTATCTTCTCTTTCTCTTCAACCACATGACCTTCATTTGGCAAGAGCAACTCTTGTAGAACCTCTCCTTTGGAAAACAATTCTTGAACGGGTTCTTGAGTTGTCAAACCTTGTATTTGAGCCATCATGTTGTCTAGTAGAACTTGTTGCTCATTCATTTGCTTAAGCATGTTGGCCATCATAAACTTCATCACGGGAAGCAACAAATGCACCTGATCCCTTCCCTATATATATATATATATATATATATATATCGAATAATATTTTATATATTTTCATGTGTATATATAAATATTATTTTGCAATATTAAATCGAATTTGGTTCATTATTTCCAACATAATTTAGCCATGCTTGGCTAAATTCCATTAGAGACTCTTGGGTAAAAAGTGTTTATAAACCTATGTGCCTGTGCTCTTAGATTCTTGAATATATTATTATTTGGGTTTTAAACTTATGTGTGCGATTGAGTTTTATATTGTTGTTGCTAGTAGGTACGGTCGTAATTACTTGTTTCTTTGCTTTATTTGTGTCACAACGGGAGTTGGGCATAATTTAGGACACACACAATTGCACTTAACTATTATTGCACCTTGGGAGAGGCCGTGTATGTTAGGGAGTTTTAATTCTTGATTATTGCACATCGTGAGATGGTAGTAGTTAGGAATTTATTATGAATGCTTGTTGTCGTTCTTAATGGGTGTTTATATCACGGGAGTGAATATTCATTAGGGTTAGAGATTACGGGAGTAACTCTATACCATCTTTGCAATCTCACACTAGTTTAAATCCAGATTTAATATTACATTAGGTTAAGCAGTAGAGGATTAAACACTTGAATCCTAGGAATCTCATTTTCTCTCTATTGATTTCAAAACCCTGATTCATTGCTTTGCTTTATTTATTTATTGCAACCTTCAATCATTATCATTAGGATTAACTTCTCATGAATAAATTAGTAACTAGTGCTTAATACCCCACTTCCCTGTGAATCAATTACCCGATGCTCCGAGTTTTATTTGTTTAAAAATATACTACAATCATATCGCTACACTTCCCTACGTGTCTAAGTTTCTTAATGATTTCTTTTAATCTATTCCGAAGTAGTGCATATTAGGAGGGTTTATGTGGATCCATCAAATCTACTTTTTTAAAAAAAATAATAATAATAACAGGCTAATTTATTAATCATAAGCAGTTTATAATTCAGATCGATAGAATGGTAATACATTCTTTACAGTCAGAATAGAAACAAATTTCCTAGCAATGATATAGAAAACTTGGATCGCAGACTGTTTTACAAATTTGAAGCCGAAGTTGTTGGATGAACTCGGCGCTTCTTCATAGATCTGGTCAAATATAGCCAAACCTGACTCTGATGTGACCATTTTATCATTCCACGCTTATGAGAAGAACTCGCGAAAGAAACGAGAAGAAAAAACTCGCCGAAAGAGACGAGAGGGAAACACTCGCCAGAGAGACGAGAGGAAACAAACTAGTCAAAGGAACAAAGAGATAACGTACTTTTTTTTGACCAAAAGAAAGCAAAATAAATGGAAAAGAGGGTAGAAAACCTGTTAGATCTGGAGAGTCTCTGAAGCTTTCTCTGAAAACGATCGGAGATGATTTGAGATCTAACACTTATTCTTAAAATAGTCGGAGGATGGAGTCTACTAATGGCACCGTCAGCTCAATGCTCCATCAGAGCGTCGGCCGGCAACACCAAGTCGTAGAGGCTTTACTTCTTGAGAGGAGATGAAAATGGGAGAGAAAGCAAATTTAGAGAGAGAATTTCAAATCTACTATTAATACGTCAAATTTACTGCCATCCAATCTATATCTGCCAATAGTAGATGAGATGTGAATCTACTAAAGTGAAAAAGTTCATGTGGATTCATCAAATCCATGTAATTTACATGGTCACGGTAGCTGTTGATTTGGTTTGAAGTGATAACCGATTAAGTTAAGGCAATCTATAATGGTGTAATGGTACCCGAGTTGGACTTTCATTTCGAAGGTTGTGTGTTCAAGTTTTTGTGGAGGCGTTATTGGTTTCTTGTGAAAAAGAAGTTAA